CAATGGTTCCACAGGAAATGGAGTATAAAAAAATTCAGGCCAGAGTTCAGGGCTTGGAGAATTATGACGGTGTTCCAGAAGAAGATGACACAACTGTATTTGAATAAATGTAATTTTTGTACATGAATAAATGTAGCTTTTTTACACGAGTAAATGTAGATTGTTGTACATGAAAAAATAAGACAACCCCTGAAAATAAACCCTATTGTGTCCTTTGGAGCAAAAATAAATACCAGGCCCAGTCTGATTTTCAGGGCAGTATGGTAGTATGGCAGTAATGGTCATGTACTCTGGAGTCTGACTCCTTAAATTCCAGTGCTGGTTCCATTACCTACTACCTATATGAATGTAGGCATAACTTAGTCTTTACATTAGGCTCCTCATCTGTAAAATGGAGATAATATTACATCTTAGAACTAAATGAGTTAATATAGGCAAAGTGAGAATAGTGCCTGTGTTTACAGCTATTATTCATATTTTCTCTTCTCTTTGTCTTTAATATAGCAGTCAACAAACTAAGATACAGTTATATGTGAGTAACTCATTATACTTTAATGCAGGTATTGGTAGACCAGGTCCAGGGACCAGACATCCCTATAGCTACGAATGGCTTTTACATTTTAAAAAGGTTGTTTAAAAAAAGGAAAAGCAATATACAACGTAAGTTCACAAATCCTAAAATATTACTATTTTGCCCTTTGTAGGACAAGTTTGGCACCATTGGATTAATAGTTTCCTCTTTCAAATACATTTGCAATTTAAAATGACCATGGTATAAGTGACAAGGAATAAACCTTTAAGGTGTAATTTCCAAACTTATTGTAATAGTAAAGGAGGTAGTTTTGCACAAGGAATATTTTATTTCATCTTGTGAATATTTTCTTCTTGATTCTCTAGTGAGATAATTTTTTCACCAATGATTAAGAATCACTTTGTGGTAACTGATTATCAGAATGGTACTGTAGGATCAAATAATCTTAAGGTAATTAAAATATTGAGGGTGAATGTGATCTCAAATTATTATGGATGGCTAAGTTAGATAGAAATTAGAATATAATCAGAGAGGGATTGGGCCTTCGAGGAAATCAGCACAAAAGATGAAGACATCAAAACGTGGGTGTAGGCAAATAAGAAGAGATCCAGGCCTCAAGATGGATATGCAAGAGCCAAGCCTTCAAGCCTCCTTAGAGATAAACAGCAACCAAAGATTATTCTGTAATTAGCACTAACTGGCCCAGTGAGCCCAGAGAGGCATGCAAGGCAGGTGACCAGGACATCTGGACTCATTCTCCCCTCCCATTCCAGGAATGCTGTGCCTTTGTTTTTTCCATATACCCTTGCTATGTGATTCATTTCCCTATTGGATTAATATTAGCTAAGTGTAGTTTGACCCACACTGTACTCATGTTGTGATTTTGTTGTACAAATTACCGTTGACAAAGAACCTCAATGATCACCCACTCAGGACCTTTCCTGGAAATCCAAATCCTCTCCTCCTTCTCCTTCCCTGCCCTCCTCCTTGTTCTTCCTCTTCCTCCTCCTCCTTGTCTTCCTCTCTTCTCAATAAAACTATCTTAATCTCCTCCTTTGGTTCACAACTTCATCCTTTAATGTTGTGAGACCATGAACTCAGAACATCTGACATTTAACGAGTGGAAGTTATTTTCCCATCACAAAGTCATTATCTTCTTTCTTTTTGCCAATTCTCCCCACTGATGTTGGCAATCTAACTTCTAGGGGAGTCCAGGATCACACATTGGCAGTTAGCAAATCTGTCAGGCTAAATATCCAGCATTGTGTGGTTTTTTTTTTTCTTTTTTGGTCACTGTTTTGCCACAGACCCTTGTGGTAAAGAATGTGGAAGGAGGAAAGCTGATTTAGGAAGTCATCTTTCTAGATCCTGGTTAGGCACATTTTAGAGAAAGTTGCCAGAAATAAAAAAAATTTTAGACTGGCAAGATGGTTAAAGAGTAATTGTTTTGAAAGAGGAGGAAATGAACCCAGTTTTTTTTGTTTGTTTACAAACAAATATTAAATTCTTGAAAGTTTCTGGGTAACTTTACTGTTTTAATTGGCCTTGAGCCACTTGTAGATTTTCATGTTTTCATATGAGTAAATCTACCATAGGCAAGAAAATAAAGAACAAATACACTTTGGGTAGAGACCTGATGTTCCTCTAAATGTCCTCAGATGAATTTGTTAAATTCAGGAAATCGTGCTGTTGTCATGTCATCTGGGGGTGGAGGTGAGAGTAGTAGAAGGCCATTTTGTTTTTGACTTTAATTGAGTTTGCTAAGACTCAAACATAAATGGTAAACAGAGGGTCTGTGAACTTCCACGGCAAAGCAAGTCAGGCAGGCACATTAGGCACAGCAGATCCTTAAGTTATAAAAGGGTTGAAGTGATTCAGAAGAGATTCTGTGTTTGGACTTTACTTTTAGACCAGGTTCTGAGTATTTAAGTCCAATATGGGGAGGTCTTCCAGTTTCTGTTTTTCTTCTGTGACAGTCTTTTGTATTACAAAAACAAAACAAAACAAGTATAACTTTGATACAGACTTGGCAACTTGTCTCTCCCAAATAAGGTGCCATCTTATATCATCATTGTTTCAGAAAAGAGACTTGTAAAGGAGATAAAATATGACAATACAAATTTGATATAAAAATAGAATTCATTTAGCCATCATGAAAAATCCCAGAAAGAAAACTTCAAAATAGTTTCTATAAATGTCTCTCCACCACGATGCTACTAGTTCATCTAATCACACTTTTTGCTTCTTCATCATCTTTTACTCCTTGTCTTTGGCCTTTTTTCCAAGCCCCCAAAGCTCCAATATTGAACCACGCTTTTTTTTCCTTTAATACATCAATTTATTGGATCAGCTATGGGGAAGGGAGATGGGAGAAGTAGGGAGAAGGGCAAACATTCATTTTACTGCTGGAATGAAGTCCAGGAAGGCAGGGGCTCTGCCTTGTTTTCTATTACCTTATATGTATTCCTAGATTCAAAAACAGGGCTTAGAAGGTGTACACAATCCGTATTCATTGAATGAATTAGAAAAATACAGACAAGGTAATATAGATTTTACTGTAACACCTCATAAGTTACAAGGAAGTAGTCTTTGCTCTTATTATAATTAGTGACATTTCAAAAATCATTGCAGAAATATTCTCTCTCTCACTCTCTCACTGAGCCACCACCAGCTCCAAAGCATACGTTCTTTTCTGGTTCCTACTCTAAGGGTTTCAGTGTTCTCATCTATAAAATGAGAGGACTGGAGCTTCATAATCTCAAAGCCCTTCTTAAAGCCTGAAATTTCATGCTTCTAAAAGACAATTTTATCGTTTTACATTCCAAATGTAAAACAGTTTGGCTCCTTCTACGTAGAAATAAATTTTAGGAATGCACATAAAGAAACCACTTCAGATTTTTTTAGGAGTATGTTTTACCTGGAGCAACTGCAGTAAGTAGTTTCTACTTGCTAGATAAACGGATCATTAGTTATTTAAATTCCCAAAGATCAATATTTGTCCTTACAAACCGACAAAACACAAAATTAATTTAAAACAAAATGACAACAGCAAATCACTAGGCATAATCTGAGCGGAAGAGTGAGGATAAAAACGAATTGGTTTATTAGCAGACCCTGGCCACCTTCCAAGGTAAATGGGGAAAGCCAGATCTCCAATGCCAGCTCTTCAGAATCCACCTCATCGTTCGTGCCCTTGCGTTCACAACAGTCTCTTGCTGCCCCCTGCTGGCCTTCTAGGGTCTGGCGACTGACGACCGAGGCACGGCCACCTGGGTCGCCGAGTCGGTAACGTCACCTACGTGCGCCACCAAAGACCGGAAGTTAGTTGTCTTTACTTCCGCTCCTCCATCCCGTTTAGGATACCAGAAGCGGAAGTGGAAGGCATCAGCGGGAGTGTAGGTGCAGTGAGTGGTTCAGGGTGAGACTGGGGGCTTGCTGTCTATGTGCTGTTTTTCTTTTTTTCAAAGCTGGTCTGGGTGTTTCAGTTATATAACGTAACCTCTTTCAGAATTGCGAATTGAGGAAGAAGAGGGAGGAAAGAGCCTATGATACGGAATTACTGTGGCTTTGATTTTGCAAAGACCTACCTGATTCAAATCCTCCACGCTTCAGCTAGCTCAAATAAGCTAGTAAGGTTGCTCGGTACAGTTTCAGATTTTTTTTTTTTTTTTTTTTTTTGTACCGGGGATCGAACTCAAGTCCTTGCGCTTGCGCAGCAGGCTGCGAAACCACTGAGCTAAATCCCCGGCCCTAGATTTTGTAATTTTAGGAGTAATGTCTACCTCTTAAATTGTGGGGGGTAAGACAATATTTACGAAGCACTTAGCTCTCGTATTCGTGATTCCGCTAATACCACTGAGAAATGTTTAGTTTGCAAGGGGCGTTGCATCTCACGGAAATATTACGCAGTGTTAGCTGAAATCGACCCTTTATTCCCTATTACGAATTCCTGATAATATTTTAGAAACACCTCTTTTTCAGCTTTTCTGGAGGGATCCTCTTTCCTTAAGACAAATAAGATGAGAAATGCGTTGCTATAAAGATCCTCATAGTTATTTAGCTCGCTGTGTTGGAAGACTACCAGCTGAATTGTGCTACCCTAGGGCCAGTGATTAGCCATTCCATTAAAAGTTCTTTAACAAGAAAGTTGTGGAGCAGAGGAAAACATAAATCTTCTTTTATTTCTTAGATTTAACAAGATTTAACAGATTTTCAGTGTTTGTTAAATTTGAATATCAACCCTTGAGCTAATGACTTCGGCATGTGGTGTTATCGTGGGCATACTTTTTCATGACATGTATATTTGATCGTTTTTCCTTGGGGTACTTTCCAGTAAGTGGAAAGGCTGGGTTAAAGGATATGAACATTTAAAATTGTGATGGGGTGCCAAATTTTCTTTCACTAACAGTATTTGAGAGATTTCTCTTATGTTCACCAACTGCCAATATTGTTAATTATTGATTTTAGATTTAGCTGAGACTGCTCTGCCATTGGGGAGTTTTTCATTTTAGTTATCAAGATCAGATTTTAGTTGTCAGTTCTAAGTCTATTTCAATTCTTTTTTTCTGTATAAATAACAGTTTTAGATTCCTTAGGTATAAATTTTATAAAACAAATGATTCACTTCACTCAGTATTTTAAGTTAAAGATTTGAGGGACGGTTGTATTTATGTGGAGCCTTATACCATGGTAGCATCAGGAAGATGGATTCTTCTGAAGGAAAGGAAAGCCTAAGCAAAGACTAGGAGAGTGGAATGAGTAAGAATGTTCAGAATCAGAAGTTTGAGAGCTCATCCTGCTAGGGAGTAAGGATGATCAAAGAAAAGAGACAGCTGGGAAAGTGGTTAGAACTAAGTGTTGTGGGTTTTGAAGGCCAATCTGAACGTTCTGTTTTCTGGGAGAGAGCTACAGAAGGACATTAATCAGTAAATGAGGAATATAATCACAACTTTGTTTTATAAGTACCAGGGTGGTGGCAGTTTTCTGGTGTTAAAGAGGCAAGATAGGCAGCTGGTGTCGGCTGGATAAGAATGTGAAGACTCATAAGAATTTGAGATTAACAAAGAGTGGAGAGATTGGAGTTCAGAGATGCTGAAGAAACTGAATCTACATAATCTGATGAATGGGGGCTTGAGGAAGAGGAAGAAGGCAAAACTCAGGGTTTTTTTTATCATGAGTGATTTTTAGGATAATGACATTAATCAGAGGGAGGCTAGTTAGGGCATTATGAAAGATGCTTAGGTTACGTTTTTGGCATGTTAATTTATGTGGAAGATATTTGTGTAAGTTATAAAGGCATAAAATCTACTTGGGATAGATTCATGGGAAACCTTTACAGAATTACGACTCTTGTTAAGAATCTTGGCATATATTTTCACTTATTTTTGATTTACCATTAGTAAACTGTTGGATGCTCTGTGATTTTTTTCAGTTAATAATCTCAAGATAGTACATTGTCTAGAGTAGTAGTACTTCAAACTTGTGTATACTATTTGCAAACATGTTCATAAATATACATCCAAAATATGTGTATTTAGTGATATACATGTCTTATGGCATGATTATGTTGTGTACATTACAAGACACGTAAAGAGTGGAATCTTTCAAAGGCTAAGACAAGAATGGAGTTTTACTATTTTTTCCTACATCCTTTTAGGTTGTCTTGCACAAGTCTAGAAAACACTGGTTTGGATCTTCAGCTGACATGAGGTTTTGTTGTACAGTAGAGGTCATGCTTGAGCCTGAGAAAGAGATCATGTAGTGCTATACAAAGTAGAACCTTCATTGTTTAGCTAGAGGAAGATCTTATTTTTAATTCTAAAGTGATGCAATTTTGGAAGAGTATGAGTGATAGTATGTGGTATTGTGGAAAAGTGAAGAATAGGAAGCTCAGTAGAATATGGACAATCTAAAGTGTGCTTTTGTTTTTGTTTTTAATGTTTGTGTTTGTTGAATGCCTTGCATTTGAGTTGAAGTTACTTGATTGTATAGTTTGAAAAACTCTTCCCAATTCTTTGAAACTTTGTAGTCTCTGTAAGCCACAGGAGTGTTCCCACATGTAAGGACAATCCAAGTTTTTGTTAAAATCGTGGTACTCTAAAGGACAGATGCAAAAGAGCCTTTCTTTGAAACTGATCTTGAAAGCACTATCTTCAACCCTAAAATGTTAGTGGTGGGTTTGAACTTTCTGTCTCTATTTTCTATTTTGTGCTTAAGAGGGGGATAAAGGATGTTTCCCGTAAGTAAGCATGTTTTAAGCTTAATCAAGAAGTGAGTTTGTTGCAGTTATGTATTCTAAAAAGAAAGTATTTTTTTTAAAAAAAATTGTGTTATATGGTTCAGACCATAATTAGCTTAGGAACAAATAAATTATCTAATAGTCTGAATAATGAATGAACACTTTTTTGTTGCATTTCTCATAAAATAAATGGAGTTGCTCATTTCAGTAGTGACCTGTGATTATAATCATATAAGTTCATACATTTTATGCCTCATTTCTAAATGATTAGGAAAATGAGTTATTAAAGTTTTAGTTACTGCCAGAAGCTGGAATTTGTGTCATGCAACAGGTGCAGAAAGCATTGACTTAGTCTTGTGTAATATGATGACCTGGTAAAGAATGGTAAAAGTAAAATTTTTATGTTTATGTAACTCTAGGGGTAGTGGCACTTACCTGTAGTCCCAGCTACTCAGAAAGGCTGAGGCAGGAGTACCCCTTGTGCATAGGAGTTTGAGCCAATTTGGGTAACACAAATCCTGTCATAGATTGTGTGGACTGAATATCCCAACTAAAGCTTTTTCCTTCCCTCCCCTTCTCTCCCCTACCCTCTTCTCTGTTCTTTTCTCCCTTCCCCTCTCTTCTACTCTTTTCCCTGTCCCTCCCCAGCTCACCCTTCCCCTCTCCTCCTGTCCTTTGTGCTGGGATCACACGTGCTAATCATGTACTCTACCACTGAGCTACACTCCCAGGCCCCCAACTAGATCATTATGAAGATGAAAATATGTTTGGAATTATTGCATTAGCATCGAGGAGACAGTAAGATAAACTGAGTTATACGAGGGTTGGAATCAGAAGCTGTTGACCAGAGGTCCATGTAAGATAAGAATTAAGGCTGTAATGCTAGCATGGATTTAAAGGGTCCCCTAGATCTAGAAAAAGATATATAAGGTGGAAATTAGGTAGTCTGAGGTGTTGTTTTTCAGTGCTAGATTTGTTAGAGTTTGGAAACAGGAGGCTAGAGGCAAAGAAGCTTGCAGTCTCTGGGCAGGGCAAAGTCAAACATCTGGGAAGTTGGAGACAAGGCAGAAATGAAGGCGTGACTCACTGAGAATAAGCCAGAGGTTTGGAAGCCAGGAGGAAACAGCAGAATTGGAGAGGGCCAACTGATTTTGGGTGGCCAAGACAGGCGAAGTCAAATAAAAAGAAAGAAAGAAAAGCCTGAATAATTCTTTGACAGTGATAATGCTATCCTGCTTTTTATTATGTTAAAAGTGGACGCAGCCCTGGGTCTGCACATAACCAACGCAAACAGCAAGCTTCTGTTGAGAAATACTTGTTTTCTTATAGAAAGGACTGGGATGTTATAGAATGAGAATGTGATCATTTAATTATTTAACACAGGCACTTGTATAATATTATATGTGTTGTTTTATGCAGTATTACGAAAGATTTGGGCTGCCTGACCATTATGGCATCAAGAAACCCCTGGCATATGAGAAGTAACTTTCTTTTGGGTTCAAGATGTTGGATGATCCAGTATTCAGCAGAAATCCTCTTCAAATCCATTTCATTTAGGCCTTTTGGTGTGAAATGTGATAATGCAGACAGTGAGCCTTCGGAGAAGGAAGACCGGCTGAACAAGTTAATTACTATGGGAGTTGATATCGACATTGCTAAGAAACGACAGCCTGGAGTTTTTAATAGGGCGGTTACTAATGAGCAGCACCTGAAGACGTTCCTTCTCTCCAAAGGAGCTAGCAAAGAAGTGATTGCTAGTATCTTATCAAGATATCCACGAGCCGTAACACGTACTTCTGAAAGGCTTTCACAACGGTGGGATCTGTGGAGAAAGATTATGGCATCAGATCTTAACATTGTAAATATTTTGGAACGTTCTCCTGAATCCTTTTTTCGATCTGGGAACAATGAAGAGTTAGAGAAAAATATAAATTTCCTGTATTCAGTTGGATTGACCAGTAAATGTCTTCGTCGATTATTGACCAGTGCCCCTCGTACTTTCTCCAATTCTCTTGATTTGAATAAGCAGATGGTTGAATTTTTGCACGAAGTCTGTTTGTCCTTGGGTTATAATGACCCTACAGATTTTGTCAGAAAGATAATTTTCAAAAACCCTTTCCTCTTAATTCGGAGCACCAAGCGGGTGAAAGCTAATATTGAATTTTTACAATCAACTTTCACCTTGAACAAGGAGGAACTGCTGGTTCTGATATGTGGTTCAGGAGCTGGAATCCTAGACCTTTCCAATAACTATGTCAAAAGAAACTATGTAAATATCAAAGAGAAGCTGTTTTCCTTTGGATGTACTGAAGAGGAGGTACAGAAGTTCGTCTTAAGCTATCCAGATGTGATCTTCTTGGCAGAGAAAAAATTTAATGATAAAATAGACTACCTCATACTAGAAAAAGTTAGTATTTCCCAAATAATTGAGAATCCTCGTATTCTAGATTCAAGCCTAAGTACTTTAAAAAATAGAGTCAAAGAATTGGTACATGCTGGCTATGACTTGAGTACATCAAACATCACTATTCTGTCTTGGAGTGAAAAAAGATATAAAACTAAACTGCAAAAAATTAAGAAAACAGCACTTGAGACTAAAGTCTGATAAATGTAATAACATTTATTTTTGTTTTTTGGGGGTTTTTTTGGTGCTAGGGATCGAACACGGGACCTTGCGCTTGCGAGGCAGGTGGTGGAACCACTGAGCTAAATCCCTGGCCTAGTAATATTTATTTTTGACTTTGGAGTGTCAAAGGAGAATTTTGATTTCTTAACCACAGATAAAAATTAAAAATTTTTGGCTTATAGGTTTGTAAAAACTCATGGTTGGTATGCCTCCAATGTACTTCTCCCAGCTACTGCTTCTCTAGTTTGAATTAATGCAACATCCCATTATATGTAGGGTGTTACTGCTGTACAGTGTGGTAGTTCCTTAGTGCTATGCAGAACAGTATGTAGAAAGATAGCACAAAGTAAGCACTTGTAGTTCTTAGATTTAAGAATTGACAGATTTGGTCTGGACATACAGCTTAGTAGTGACAGCACTTGCCTAACATGTGCAAGGCCCTGACTTTGATCCCTAGCACAGCAAAAATAAAAATAGACAAAAAACAAATTGACAGATTCATTTAGGTAATTCTATTTCCTCTCATCGTTTTGAATAACAACCCATTTTATTATTCCAACATATTGAATTAGGGTTTATCCTGAAAATAGAATGCCAGTAAAAAGAGTAAAAAATCCAACAGAAAGGAGGAATTTTTTTCATCCCAAATCCAACATTCTCCATTTAAACCGTTAATGTGATATTACTATCCCCCCAAAAAGAAAAACTCCCTGTAATTTACTAAAGGTGTGCTCATATTTCTTTGAAGACGAGGCACCTGTGGTGGGTTTAAGAATAATGGCCACCTAAAGATGTTAATTTCCTAGTTTTCCGGCAGCTTAAACATATTAAAAAGTCCACAATTCCAAGTAACTAACTGCAATCTGCCTTTAAAAACCATTATTGGGGTATGAAAATGTTGACCTTTACCACTTTACTGTCAATTTCACAAGACTGCTTCAGTCTTGGAACTTAAATAGAGAAAATACACCATTTTAGGGAGGAAACATGGCCCTGAACAAAAAGAAAATTGTGCCAGTTTTGTACCTGTTGTCATACAATCAATCTTTTGCCCTTGGTGTTTCAGAAACATCCATTGCCAGCACTGATTCTTTTCCAAGAAGTGAGCTGATATCAGTAATCTCCTGGACCATATAAAATTAGAAAGTTGTGGAGGGCAGCAAATTACTTAAATAGTGACTCCATATTCATGCGTCATCTGTAAATAATCTTTTAAATTAATCTTAGTCTCCTTTTTTATGTGTATTATATATAGATGTAACTTAAAATACTGGTAATTTCCGTATATTTACATTTTGCTGGCATTCCAGCTAATAAAAACAGGAATTTTAGAGACATTGACTTGAATGAGAAGATCCCAGCTATCTCATATATCAGTTTGTACCATTGATAGAAACAATGCCTGTTTTTCCAAGGCCATGCATATATGTTCAGTGATACTCTTGTTTCCAGTGAATTGTTTGATGGCAAGCATGTCATACTTTAGAAAATATGGGCTTTATAGAAAAATATTTCTAGAGTGCTATAGCTGGGCACCATTTCTGACTAATTGTATTTTGTGTAAATATTTTAAATTCATTGAATTGTTTTCAGTGGTATTTAATGGTAGCTTAAGAAAAATTATAGGAGTGTTTTTAAAAACAGTTTTATGGATACATAGTTCACATACCAACAGGGCACTCAAATATTAATTATTTTTAAAAATATGGGGTGTGCAACCATTGCCACAATCTAGTTTTAGAATGTTTATGCCCCCTAAAATAAATCCTATACCCATGAGCATCCAGTTCCCATCATTCCCTTCCTATCCCTGCATCCCTAAGCAAAAACTAATCTTTCTGTCTCTAAATTTTATTCTGGGTATTTCATATAAATGAAATACTACAATATGTGGTTTTGTGACTGACCTTTTTCATTTAGCATAATGTTTTCAAGGTAGCACATGTTTTCATATAGCATATACCAGTATTCCTTTTTGTTGTTAAATAATCCATTGTATGGATACAGTAGGGTTATTGGGAATATATTTTATTGCTTTGTCTTGAAACAAAATATTCCTTAAGTTTTCTGAATTGTATGGGAGTACTTTCCAAGATACTGCTTTGGAATTTAACGAGTTATGGAACTTGAGAGGGGTGGGTGGAGGAGACAAAGTTTATTGGTATCAGCAGATCATGAGAGTTATACCTGGACATAAATGATACAGCAATAATAGTTGCCTGTGCCAAGAAAAATGCAGGAAGAACAGAAGTACAATACAGCATTTGATCATTGGGCAGTAGAATGTGGGGCAGATCTAACTTTATGGGAGAAATGAATGGATAATGCTTGTCAGGCAAGATTAACATGAAATACTTTAAGGTTTGAGTCTAATTGAGGGAAAGCCAATTTTTAAAAAATTGAGTTAAAAAATTTAAAACATTTTTTGTCGTAAGTGAAAGATCCATATTTTCAATGGGAAAAAAGGGAAAATAGATCATAAAACAAAATCTGATAATCTGCCTGATATAATCAACATTTTGGTAACTTCCCATTATTTTTCTATGCAAAATATATCCTTTCAGGGATATAATACGAGTAAGTAGATAAATATATAAAAGTCGAGGTCAATCTAAAATTTATAAGTTGCTTTTCTTAATAGATTCTGAGCATATTGTATATTTTTCAATATTATGAATCAATTATCCACTAAATACATGATTTTTAATGATTGAATGAAATTCTATTGTTTGGATAAGCCATAATTTCTCTAATCAATCTCCCACCATTGGGCAGAGTAAACACATTTTAGTAATATTTTGAACATTCCACCAGGACTATTTCAGTATTCCACAGCGTATACATACTAGCCCATTGGTATGCTTTATAAATTTAAAAAGTTTGCTATAGAAAGTGCAAATATTAAGAGTATTGCATTTTGCTGTTTTTTAAATGTCAGAAGGATCTGGAAATTATAATTTTTTAAAGAAATGGAAACTAGGGCCAGGGATTTAGTTCAGTGGTCCCGGCGCCTGCCTTTCAAGTGCAAGGTCCCGAGTTCGATCTCCTTAAATATATTTAATTTTTAATGTTGGGGTATACACATAGTATGTGACTTTTATGTACAATACCTGACTATTGCCTCCTTTGTGAGACTGTAAGTCCCACACTTCATACCCAGAGGTATACTGTAGTGGAGATCTAGGGGAGAATCCGTTGATGGCAGAAGCCTACCCATAAACTTTTTTTTTGGTACTGGGGATTGAACTCAGGTCCTTGCATTTGTGCAGCAGGCCGCGAAACCACTGAGCTAAATCCCTGGCCCCCCATAAACTTTGATAATCGTCCACTGTTACACAGTCCAGGCAAAACTTGGAGCTGTGTCTGATGGAAGGACTGTATTATTAGATTTGGGAAAGAGATAACAGCAGAAGTCCTTTTGGAGGGACAAGGTCCTGGGTCTGATTGGTTATCAGATGACTTAGGAGACGGGGATCTGGCCAATATGTCCCTGGACTGTGGATGTTCCCATTCACTCCTCAATTTATGTCCTGTTGGCTCTGGAACCTGGTTTAGGGTTGAGCTGTGAAAGGGACTTACCAGCTGACCGTAATAACAAGGTAAATGTTATAATGAGGCCACCTCTATCTTTTTGCTTGTTTTCACCTTGCTGTTATTCTCAAATGATACTCTTGCCTCTACTTTCAGAGAGATTAATGAAATAAAAGGGGAAAAAAACCATCACATGTAGTTCTTTTTATTGGAAGGGGGTCATGATTTAAACCATATTCTTGGGAGGTACTTTAAACCTTTTGATTAATTTGAGTGGAATTTGTTATAAAAATAGACATACTGGTACAGTGTTATTCCAGCTCAGTTTCACTATTCAGCAGATAAGTATTTGGAATTTGTTTTTCATTAATAACAGTATTGTCTAAAGATTAATGGGTTTATACATGAATTGCTTTGTGTTGATTATGAAAGGCTTAAATATGGTGTTCTTCCATCTCCATTTTGAATATTCAGTCCCACCTTTATCAGTTATCAAAATACCTTCAATTTAGGTTTTCTTTTTGCAGTAGAAAAGAATTTATTCTCTGATAATACATAGTCATTGTAAAAGCCATTGAACAATACAAAGAACCAAAATTCTCAGCTACCCTATTTATCATGAAGTTGAGAAAATATTTTCTTCTTAGTTCACAAAGAGCTTTGTTTTAAATCAGAGAGGAATAATTATTTTTGAGAATTCTTTAAAAATCTACTCTTGGGCTGGGGATTTAGCTCAGTGGTTTGGCCGCCTCCTGTGCAAGTGCAAGGACCCAAGTTCAATCCCCGGTACCAAAAAACAAAACAAACAAACCCCTACTCTTTTAATCTTTAATAGAGTGGCATAGGTGGATTACTTCATATCTTTTTTTACTGATATGAATTTTATGCCATATTTAATTTACCGGTATTTTACTTAGGACTTTTCATTAGTACTCAGGGGAATTGGTTGCAACCTACTTAATGTTATGAATTTTTGGTGGGTAGGTTCTTTGTATTTTAAAGGTAGGGAGGTTGCCACCTTGCCAGCTTTTTGGCTCAAGGTTCTGCTAGTTTCATCAAGTAAATTCAGAAGCTTACTGTTTTTCTATGCTTTGTAACTGAAAACTCAGAATTACCCATTTTAAAGTTTGACCTAACCAGTAAAATAATTTGAGCTTGCTATTTTGTTCAGGACAGATCCTTGACAACAATAGAAAGTTGTAAAGGCATATATAAAAGTGTTTGACCTACACCTTTTCAGTAAATATCAGTATAAAGTAAAGCTCTCTCCTAATTAAGGCATTTTGATGCATGCCACAGTATGGGTGAATCCCAAACTACTGTGCTATATGAAAGAAGCCAGATAAAGAGAACAATCTGTATAATTCCATTTATATGAGATTCTAAAAAATAGTTTGTATTGACAGCAGATTAAAGGTTAGTGAGATTGTGGTGGTTGGATGGAGAAGGGTATGATGGAGGAACTACAGAGCATGAGCAAATGTTTGAGGATGTATATATTCATCATGATTGTTGATGGTTTTGTGTATATATGTCAAAATGTATAAAATTGTTTTAAATATGTGCAGTTAAGTATTCTTCAATTATACCTCAGTAAAGTAACAGAATTTGTCCCTTCAACACTGATTTAAAATCCCGTCTTTGTCTGATAATAAATTCCCCATGTCTGTTTCTAGATTCTTACTACTCTCCTAAACAGATGTCTTAGACTTTATATTGTTATATCTATATCAAGAATTAAACAGTATTTCTCTTCAATAAAAGTACTGGGAGACCTGAGAAACTATCTGGAAAAAATATTGATATATTCATACTCAGAATAAACTCCAAATGGAATAAGTTTTTTTTGTTTTTGGTATTGGGCCTCAAACTTGGGACCTTGTGCTTGTGAGGCAGGTGCCAGAACCACTGAGCTAAATCCCCGGCCCCAAATGGAATAAGTTTTGATGTGAATTTTGGAGGAATACAGTATTTAGATCACAGCAATTGTATTAATGTATATATGCTAGCAATGAATAACCATCCCTTTTAGCTGTGCAGATTGTATTTTTCAGTGTGCTTCTAAATTTTACCTGGTAATGATTTGCCTGGTAGTAGGTATTTATATTGATGTATAGTTTTCTTTTCGATATATATTGGACTTTGATATCAGTAGTGGGTTTAGTATCATGGTTGTTTTGTCTGTTCATTTTTTATGTATCAATATTTCAAGTATATCTTCGTAAATAATTAAAATTCACAATATATACAACTATAATACCTTAAATAATATTTTAGATGCCTTAAAGGTTTGTTTTATCCGTGAAACTACTTGGACTTGGTGTTTTTTTTTTTGGTACCGAGGATTGAACTCAGGCCCATGAGCTTGCGAGGTAGGGGGCAGAACCACTGAGCTAAATCCCCAGCCCATGGACTTGGTGATTTTTGATAGGAGATCTCTAATAATATTTCATAAGTGTTAATCATTCTATTTAGACTTCTTGGCTTTCTGGAGTCAATTTTGATAATGCTATGTTTTTCTAAGTATTCAAGCATTTTCATGGTCAACTCCAAATTGGCTCTGTATATTGTTTCCCCTCAGTGTGGGGCAGCAGAGGCTCTGACCAGCCTACCACCATGATCATTGCTGAGACCAATATCTGGGGAGACAAACCCAGAGGTTAGGCAGATCTAGGGAGAAATTATAGACCTGGATATAGGCCAGCCCCAAGGAAAGCTCACATATTGTAAACTACAAAACCAGTGTGGGGTTTTACTACACAAGTGACTCTTTCATAGCTGGCTAGATTGGAGAAGAAACCCAGTGCAGCACCTGCCATATTGCCAGACAGTATTTAATTTGGATGTTATTTTGGAAAGGGGTTAGTTGTTTAAGACTGAGCCACAGAAAAACTGTAGGACAACTCCAGGGTTTCTATTGTTACCCTTCCACAATGAGTAGGTAAGAGACAGCCATGGGAAATGGTGGAGAGGGTGCAGGCTGGATATAGATCCCCTGAAAAGTTTAAGCTCAGGCTGGGAAGGACAGGGCCCCAACCTTTATGGTGAGAAACAAGGCCCAGGAAATGTGACTTTTACAGGTGGCTGGATTTGAAAGTTCTGGCATTAAGCTCAACAGTCTGCTTGAACCCATATCCCACTGCCTACATCCATCAGAGACCAGTGGTCTGATTACTTTCCTCATCTACCAATGTGAGCAAGGACACACCTCAGCTTGGAGAGTTGCTGGAATCTGGAGTGTACAGACAGGCCTCTGGAGCAGGGAGGACACCTCAAAAACCCATGGCCATAAAGCTAGGCAGAAAAAACTGACGTGCTTGAATCCAAGATTATAGATCCTTGGAAAGAAACCATCTAAAAATACAAAATTATTTGTTTGACTCTTCTTTTTCCTTCATTATTTTTTTGCTGAGAGCTATTCTATATAATTTTTTGGGAAAAATCATTTCATAATGTATGATTAGGGCTGTCTAAGGCCCAGTGTCACCTTGCCCTCTGGCTATGGTATGTGGAAACATAACTGTCCTGTACTTCCAGTCACAAGCCGAGGCTTCAGTGATCTGGTGATACTGTGAAGCCCAAGGGCAAGATTATATCAGTGGAAGACATCCTGGTTCTTTGAGAACTGAGGAGTAAAAAAAGAGAAAGGTGTCACCAAAGAGTAGGACAAATTCCTTGTTAGCCTGTCTTGTCCCACCTACTATTTTAAGAATGCTTTGCCTTTCTCACCATCCTCATCAACATAAGACCCTCATCAATATAAGATTACCATGCTTTCTGAGTCACCCAATACTCCCTCCAATTATTGTGTGTACTCAGTGGTGGCAAGCTTGGAGTGTCTTTGTCTTTGCCCATCCTGGCACTTACCTCCCAGCCCCTATGCACTTTGAAATTATGTCTCTATTGTCTTTCTTTCTTTACCCCTTACAGGCCCCCTCTTTAGGCAGATTGGAAGATTGATTGGCCTCTGATAATTTTTTGAGGGTTTGGGGTTTTAAAGCCCTTTTTTGGTGTCTTTTCTCCTTTTAACTTTATTTTCCTTCTTTTTCTTTATTCATTCTTTCCTTTATTTTGCTCTTTTTTTCCCCTTCTTTTTCTTATTCTTTTCTGTTACTTTTTTTTTTTTTTCCGGTGCCAGAGATTGAACTCAGGACCTTGCTCTTGCCAGGCAGGTGCAGTGCCACTAAGCTACATCCCATAGTGTATAACTGAAAAGTGGACACTAAAGAGGTGTGCATACTAGCAACGAAGTCTTCCACTATAATCAACTCACAAAGCTCAACAGAAGAATAAAATGGAACTGTAAGCACACAAGGCAATAAAATGCCCCCCCCCCCCCATCCAGCTTCCCCAAAGCTGATTCATGGGGCATTGAGGGGGAGGAAATCAAAAGCCACACAGCCAAATTATTGAAAAGGATAACAGATGAGATTTTAAAAAAAGATCAGTAAGGTGCTTATCTCAAAGCAGATAGGATTAAACCAATAATAGACCTAATAAAATGATCAGCAGTTTACCAAAGACAGTAAAAATGATAGGAAGCATAAAATACCAGTATAGTAAAGAATCAGAATCCATGAAAAGTTACCAAACAAATCCAGGAGATTAAAAATTCTTTTGAAAGTATAGGCAGCAGAAGTGACCAACATGAGAACAGAGGAACAGAGAGTCAGAACTAGAAGAGAGGGATGATGTCAGTGATGAATTAGAGATGTCTTAAAAACAAGAATATGAAAAATGGACCCAACAGTTGGTAGATGATGCAAAGAAAATAATCTAAGATTAATTAGAATTAGTGAAAAATCAGAAAACAACACAAATGGCATAAAAATACCTTTTTATAGAAATAGCAGAGAACTTTCCAAATAATGGGGAATTTAACATACAGATATGTGAGGCACATAGAATCCCGAATAGCCCCAATCAGAAAAGAACCTCTGTATAACAAATCATATCCAAAATTCCAGAAGTCTAACACAAAAGGACAAAATCTTAAAAGCTGTTAGAAAAAAACAATGAATAATTTACAAAGGTACACCCATTAGAATTACAGCAGAGTTCTCAATGCAAACCTTAAAGACCAGAAGAGCTTGGAGTGAAGTGTTTCAAGCCCCTTTCAAAACAAAACAACCGTCCAACCCAGACTGATATATCCTACAAAACCATGTTTTAAAATTGATGGATGAATAAGGTATTTCCATGAAAAAAGCATTTTAAGAGATTTGTGACCACCATATCAGCACTCCAAAAAATTCTCCAGGTTAGCCTAGAGAGAGACAATGAAGCAAACAATGACAAAAGATCTGATAGAATGAATACCAGAGGCAGAAGGAGCAGTTAAGTGGAAAGGAAAAAAAGGAATCAACCACAGGAAAATAATGGAACAATAGGAATAAGTCAGTACCTTTCAGTAATAACACTCAATGTGAATAATCTCAATTCCCCAATCAAAAGATGCAGATTGGCAAAATAGATCAAGAGACAAAATCCAGTGATATGCTATATACAAGAAACACATTTAACCCAGAAAGAAATTCATAAAAAAGGATGGAAAACCATATTCCAAGCAGCAGGAACCCCAAAACAAGCAGGAGTAACTATCCTATTTTCTGATAAAGTAGACTTTAAGTCAAAACTAATCAGAAGAGGCAAAGAAAGGCACTACATTTGATTAAGGGAACAATTTAACAGGAAGAAATAACAGTTAATACATGTACTGGACAATGGTGTATCCAACTTCATAAAACAGTACTGGACATAAAAGACCAGATAAACATCAATACAATTATTATGGGGAACTCAATACCCTACTGTCACAAATAGATCAACTAGACAAAAAGTCAACAAATACCAAAGTTGAACCAAAGTTTTGAACAAATGAACTTAATAGAAATCTACAGAATGTCCCCCCTCAAAGGAATGCACATTCTTCTTAGCAGCATGTTGAACTTTCTCTAAAATAGAGCACACTAGCCCATAAAGGATTCTTAAGTAAATGCAAAAGAATAAAAATTGGCCCCTGTTGGGCTGGGGATTTAGTTAAGTGGTTCCACCGCCTGCCTCGCAAGTGCAAGGTCCTGAGTTTGATCCCCAGTACCCAAAAAAACTTAAAAAAAAATAGTCCCCGTATATTTTCAGGTCATAGCACAATGAAACTAGAAATCATTGACAAACCACAGAAATTATGCAATGGAAATTAATACACTCAAATAATGAATGGGTCATGAAAGAAATTATACAGTTACTTGGGTCAAATGATAAGGCCAGTACAACACATTAGAACCTATCAGACATAATGAAAGCAATCCTAAGAGGGAAATGTATAGCCGTGAATGCCCACAAAAGAAAAACAGAGCAAATTTGAATAAATAACCTACTGATGGACCTCAAGTTCCTATAGAAACAGTAAACCAAATCAAAAGCCAGTATAAGGAAGGAAATTATAAAGATCAGAGCAGAAATCAGTGAAATTGAGACTAAAAGATACAAAGAATCAGTGAATCAAAGAGCTGGTTCTTTGAAAGAATAAAGAAAATTGATAAACCTGCAGCAATTTTACTAAAAAAGGAAAGACTCAAATCAGTGCAATTAAAAAGGAAAAAGGTGAAATCACAGCAGACACTACCAAAATCCAGATTATGAGCAACTACTTCATGAAGTTGTATACCAATAAGTTGGAGAATTCAGAAGAAATAGGTAGATTCTTAGATGGATATGTTTAACAAAACTGAACCAAGAAGTTATAAAACCCCTGAATAATCCCATAACAAGCAATGAAATTGAGGCAGTAATAAAAATCTACCAACTAAGAAAAGCTCAGGATGGGTGGATTCACTGCTGAATTCGACAAGAACTTCAGGGAAGATCTAATGTTAATACTCTTCAAACTCTTTCATGAAATTGAAAGGGAAGGAATACTACCAAAGTCATTCCTGGAAGCCAGTATTACCCTGATCCCAAAACCATACAAGGATGCAACCAAAAAAGAGAACTACCGGCCAACCTCTTAAGTGAATATAGATGCAAACAATCCTTAACTGGCAAACAGAATGCAATGAATCATCAAAGAGATCATACACAATGACCAAGTAGGCTTTATTCGAGGCATGCAAGGATGGCTTAACATATGCAAATCAATAAGTGTTATACATCACATAAACAGAAGCAAGGACAAAAGTCACACGATCATCTGAATTGATGCAGAAAAAGCCTTTGAAAACCTTATATAGGTATAGAAAGACCTTATTCTAATCTTATAAAAGACAT